TCAATTCAGTTCTTATCATGAGTTGTATGCAAAATAAGCTATATGCTAATAAAAGCATCCACACACATAGCATTTTTCAAATTCATCAATTCAGCAAAAAAAATATATAGTATAGAAGCCTCAGATTGCAGTATAGAAGCTCTTATCATCACTTCAGTGTGGATAAATTTTAGTGTAAATGGACTAAAATTTTTCTTATCAAGCTTCTTCCTTCTGCTGCAATACAATTAGAAATGCTATTTGGTACTGAATGTGAGCAGTGTTTATATTTCATTTTTTTTTTGGGGTAGTGCTACAATCTGAACAGATCTGTTGTCTCTGAACTTTTTTTTTTTTTCTACTGCTGTAATATGAATCAATCTGTTATATAGAATCATAGCTGTTGTCTCTGAATCAATCTGTAGACATTGATGTAACTTGGGAGGACCAATTCTTTAGTTAGTTTTATGCCTCTCACCCTCTTAGTACCTATCAAGACAGTAATGAAGCTTTTTTTTTAAAAGAAACTTCTATTTTGATATGCATTCTCTGCAGTTTGGTGCACTCTGTGCAATAGCAACCCTAGCATCTATGTGTTCGGTCGGGTTAATTTAAAGATTTTTTAAAATTCCGTGTTGGCATCCTGACTTGGAGTCCGACTTGAAGTTGCTAACTGATGCGAGCAGTTTATTATGGATGTAGTAGTCTGCCCAGTCACAAATGAATACATGATGGGCACCCCAGTAGTCTACACAGACATGATCATGCTTTGCTCCGGGAACAAAGAGCGTTGACATGACAAAAACTAGAAATGCCACTTTGAATTGCTCCGACGTCTTACCATGCCGGGTACTCAGTGTCAAGTAGCTCTTGTACAGCCTTAATACTGCGTTGCTCTTTCCCGGCCTGTCAGAGGCCAGCAGCGTAGCTTCATTTTCTGCAGCAATTTGGCCTGCGCTGTTAAAGCAGCTGACCCTTCCCTGAGAATCTGTCCTGCCACAATATAATTCATGATTAGCCCTGTTGGTGATGCAACTGAGTTGCATCCATTTCGAGCTCCCTAGCTCCTCCGAGTATATGTATGTCGACGAAATCGCAAGCACTCCTCGGCCTGTTCGTTTGAATTTATCAGCCGGTTTATCAGCTAGAATCTACAGTATTTTTCTCTCACAATAAAACAGTTTTAGCAGACTTATCAGCCGGCTTTAATACTAGCCGAACGTGTCTGCACTGCATGGCAGCCACGTTTTGAAGATCGTCTCGTCGGAGTTGCATCATCGCTGCCCCCGTGAAGAAGCCGGCATCCGAGGTGTCCATGATTTTTTTTGAAAGGGCGGCCAACAAGAGATTTGCCGAATTAATACATTATTAGAAGAATAATTATTAAAGGAATAAAAGCAAAACCCTTCTGTCTGACAGGGTGTTTGGTTTGATTGAGCAGGCTGCAACTGCAATATATCCAACATGGGTCGCCTCGCCGATTCCATTTCCATTCTGTCTGTGTAGGAGTATATACATACATGGCAATGGCAATGGCAATGGCCAATGGTGGCATTAGTGTTCATGCTGGTACGGATTTTCTGTTTATACTGATATTTTGTGAGAGAAAAATACTATTCCGGCTGAAAAAAAAGTGATCCGGCCAGCCAATCTTTACCAGCCGAACGCAGCCACAGCTCAGATGTTACACATCACTGTCTAGAGTTAAGCCGAGAAATTCAGCCTAAGCCGAGAAGGATAAGTTTAATTATACATCTAGTTGTCTAGAGCTACACATCATTGTTCACGTGTCCTGCCTCTCACAGGTCACACCCAGCGACGGAGGCAGTGATGGGGCTAAAAACCCCGCCTACCGATTCTGGACACATGGAGCTCCCTAAGCCTTCCCTTGAAATTTTATGCATATATGTATTAGATAGGAGGGGCTAAGATTAAGAGAAGATAAAAAAAACCTTTATTCTTTTGTTCAATCCCTCCTAAATTTTTTTCTGGCTTCGTCACTGGTCACACCAGAATGATAACGATACACGTACTTCTTTTAGTACGTACATAAATACAGAGTAGCACAATATGAATATGTACAGAGTTAACAACATGCACAATGTTTATACACAGACTAAAGACAACACATTTACACATGCAGCATGGGCTACCTGGCTGCAAAGCAAAGAAAATTTCTAGAGCTTGTCAGCTCAGCCAAATGTCTTCTCGCTGCTGTAGCACATGTAAAGGAAGCCGTCCTTGTCCTTGTACGAGTCATAAACACTTCCCATCAGGCTAGCTGTGGGAAAAAATTGCATCATCACTTATCAATTCAGCTCAACCCATTTCTACTTATGCGAAATGTCTAGTTTCGACCTTCTGCATCTTAAAGTTCTAGCTCCTAATACCTTTTACAACAACGATCCTACCGTAATACAAGCCTACAACCAATGGACAAAATGTCTAAAGCTTCAGCAGGGATCAGAGAGTTATCAAAGGACAGACAGCATATTATATTGATGAACAACAATCTCACCTGTTTGGGGCAAAGTGTTGTTTACAAACACAAAGAGAGCTGTTCCTGGAGATAGGTGCAGCCTGGAGCGTAGTATGAAAACAAACTGCCCAACCGGCATGTCACAGGGAACCAGGTACCTGCACCAAAAATAAATTTGTATTGCTACATTTCAATCTTCAATCAAAGAGAATGGTCAATGAGGATACTGTTACACTTCAGTTATGAGCAGCATGGAATCAATGCCAATGAAACACACAATCCATATCTAGTAATGTATAATGGGCAAAAGGGAGTAACAACTTACTTTCTCTTCTCCATTTGTGGTAAATTACTCCTTGAAAACCTTTCAACAACGACCTGCAAATAGAAGCTACTAATTCAGGACTGCCATGTTCATCAAGCAAGAGATGCCAAACAGAGATTAAGGGCAAAAGGGGAATGCAGAGAAAAATGTAGGTGATAATTTAGGTTGATATATATGATCAATTTCAGTTCGGTTGTTCTGAGTACCCAAAACTTATCAATGATTTTAGATTAGAAATTACAACGTTCCAAGACACTCATGAATGAATGTAAGAACCCTTGAGCATCAGAAAATTGATTTGCAGGAGTATGGTGGACATAACTGAAACCCTGAATAGACCAGCACAATTATAAACAAAATAAGATGAAACCCTGAAGGAACCCCCAGGCCCCAGCATGAGAAAGACATGGATTTCTTTTAGAATTCCGAAATCTGAAAGGCTAGGAATTGCGTGAGCAACAAAGGAATTCTCTGTATCCTAAAATCAGCTGTGCTGTTTGGTTCTGTAAATCAATATCCACATACACATGATGATGGTTGATTAACGTGTAGAGGAGGATGAATGGATGTGGAAAAGGAGAGGACAGAGCAGTATCAACTAAGACTACGAGTAGTAATCTATCTACGTAACCTATATAGATGGAACCCACTAAGGGTATACTTCTATTTCTTTGTAACCATGTTGATCCACGTCATCACCTAGGATCACTTCTCCAGCCCAATGCAGCGATGCCGCCCTCATCTTCTTCTGCTTCCCAGCACTGCTATCTATTCTGATTCATTCAAATCGTCTCCTCACTTTCCATTTTGCCAATTCATCCACTAAATTTACAAGCTAAAGTGCTAAGCAATCATGACATCCATTATTTTTCCTCATTATATGCACTTCTAATCCAATAGCTAACTGATGCATGCATGTTATGGTTTACCGCCTGACGTTCACTCTCTCCGCCATTATTGTCAACGTCTTTATTCTTTTGTAGTGGATTATTGATGAGTTTCTTAGTAATTAATTAATCTACATTCTATTACAGTAAGACCCAATCATAAGATCGGTGGACGCACACGCTGCCATGCTGTGGCATTAGAGGTCTAGCATTCTCTCTCTCCCTCTCTAGCGTGTTCTCTCTCAGTTGCTCAGATCATGTATCAAACTCAATAGGGAGCTACTTGAGTACCAATGTCTATCTATTGTAAAATCAGTTAGCTCTTTCTTTGCAGGGTCCATGCAGCCTTTTTTAGTGATGATTATTATTGGTTCTTTTTATCCTATTACACTGTCCTGTTTCTCTTTCCCCGGTGAAGTAAAAAAAATGTAACGAGAGTTGGACTAAGTAGGCTACTATACTATGCTGAATATAAGAAGCACATGTTAGTTATATAGCCAGTGTGTACGAACTCTGCTCATTGATGTACGATGGTTGGCACAATTATGTGGTATAATACCATTATTTTTAATTGTATTATAATTTATTATATGCCATGCAATTTATTTCATCCAAAAACATTTCCCATTTTAATTTGTTCAAACATGCGAGGTATCATCTAGTGTAGTATAGTAGTAATAATAGCAATAATTGATTAGCGACGCGAACAAAAAGGAGAGAAGCTGAGTCAGGCGCAGGCCCTGCCCGCCTAGGGTTTGGAAGGCAGAGGCAAGCAAGCTGAGAGAGGAGAAAGGAAAGGGAATAGAGAGACTCGACATACGGGGATCCTGGCGGGGTAGTTGGCGATCATGGCAGCGGATTCCTGGAGCCTCTCATCTGCACCCCGAACCCAAGCATGCATGCATCATCGAATTACTCAATTGAGTAAACTGCAGAGTTAGATGTGGACTGAGAGCTACTGACCGAAGTTGAATTCTTGCTTGAAGGGCTTCATGGCGGATCAGATGGAATCGAATCGTCGATCGCTTTTGCTTCCGTCCGTCAATGAAATCTCCTCTGCTCTCCGTCTCCAATCGGCCGCCGCGATGGGGGGGAACGGGGAAGAAGAGGAGGAAGCCAGGAAGGGGCGCTGAAGCTGTAGCTGGGCTGGTTCCCGAAAAAAGAAGACCAGGCCCAACTGAAGCCATGGGGCCCATTCCAACAACTTACATCAAGCAGCAGCCCACGCACGCAACTACTCCTAGGTTGTCTGTCGTCGCGGCTCATCTCCCTCCCTCCCTCCCTCCTACTGCTGCCGCCGCCGCCGACGGAGAAGAGAGAGACAGAGAGCATGGCCGACGCCCTCGACATGTCTCTCGACGACCTCATCTCCAAGAGCAGGAGTACCCACCAACACCCCGGCGGGAGACGCCCTGCCTCCAGAGGCGGAGTCCCCGCACCCACGGCGCCGCGACGCCGCTTCAACACCCGCGCTGCCGCAGCACCTTACCTCCGCCGCGCAACCTTCTCTTTCAAGGTGAGTGTCGGAGATCCCTTCCTCCTCACCCTCTCCATGCCGCTGCTCCTAATTGATTGAAGTTGAACGAACCGATCCTAATCGCTTGAACTGATTAACCGAATCGTAGCCACTTGTGCGACCTATGGATTATGCTGGATATAGGGCCGCCCAGCCCCGGCCGCCGATGGTGTCCGCCCTCGACGAGCCCACCAAGCTCTACATCTCCAACCTCGACTACGGCGTCTCCAACGACGACATCAAGGTCACTCTTCTTCTCTTGCTATAAACAGTGCTGGTACATCTGATTCATCAGTTGATAGTACGGTGTTGCTTATTACGGCAAGGAAACAAACGAATTTCTGTATTGATTTTTTGGCCTCCTATTTTGCTATGCTGCACCATTCTATATATTTTTTTCTATTCCTACCCAGGCACCATTCTCATCCTCCCTTTCCTGATCAGGAACTCTTTTGTGATGTTGGTGATATCAAGCGTTACTCTATCAACTATGATAGGAGTGGAAGATCAAAGGTAGATTACTTCTGAATTTTAATGCCCATCCTCTTTACTCTTTTCTGTCTCATCAGCCTCAAATGCTCATTAATTACTATGGCTCAACGTTGGCAGGGAACTGCAGAGGTTGTCTTCTCTAGAAGGTCTGATGCTCTAGCTGCTGTTAAGAGGTACAACAATGTGCAGCTTGATGGCAAACCTATGAAGATTGAAATCATTGGGACAAACATTGAGGCGCCACCGCCACCAACTGCTATCTTCTCCTTCAATCCGCCAGCTGGAAACTTCAATTTGCCTTTCAAAAGGTCAGTTAGTACCATCGTTCTTTGCCATATGCAGTGTTTTTTTCTCCCCTGATGAAATAGCACCTGCAAAACATTGCTTTCCAAGACTACTGTGCTGCTTTTCAGTCATTAGCTTCACTATCATTCCACAAATGCATGGTCTGTTAGAATTTCAACTCTGCAGCATGGTTTCTACAGTACACAGGTGTGCTGATAGTGCAAGCAGAGCAGGGATTATTTGTCTTTTATCTGGGGACTCATATTAAGACTCCCGGGGGAACAAACAAAAAGCTACATCTCTTTTATGTCATGTGGGGAATAACTATATATAAGTCACATGCTCAGATTAGTGACAGAAGTATATATAGGACCCATGATACTAAAAGCTTTTTGTTCACATTTGACAATCTCCTGGAAACTAATGCTCATAAATGTTGCCTCCACATGATAAACGAATGGTTTGGGAGTGTGTGCGAAATCTGTCATTTGTGATGGAATCGGAACCGAGCCTCAGTTACTGTGATTGCTTAAATCTAAGATTGCATTGTCATGTGAATCAACATCTTTGATTATGCTTTGCACCCTAGTGTGTTTTTTTTCTCTTCTATAAGGATCTGGAGTAAGAAACCAGCATTGAAATTTTGCAGTGGGCCTGGAAGAGGTGGTGCTGGAGGATGGCCTCAGAGCAGAGGTGGATTTGGTGGGCGTGGGCGTGGGCGGGGGCGGGGGAGGGGGAGGGTTGAGGGTCGTGGTGAGAAAGTTTCTGTTGAAGATCTGGACGCAGACTTGGACAAGTACCATGCTGCAGCAATGGAAACCAGCTAAATGATTCTGGCACAGCATTCATGGTGGGCAGTGGCCAGTATGTCTTCCTGTGTCTCATTTTGTAGGAATAGATGCTGACCATAGTATAATGTATCGGATCATGAGCGGGTGTATTAATCTGGAAGGTCAATTTGCACTGTGAACATGTTGGGTGATGAAATGGAGAGGATGGAAGCAATTGCGAGATTAGGTGTTTTTGTGAGAGGAAGCTGACTCTTGTTCCATTGTAGGTTTGGTTGCTTCTTAGTTACAAACTTGTAGATGGTAATGGAATATATACAGCATGGATCTGATATTCTGTCACATTTCATGTTGGATGTCGCCGCTGTGCAGTTCAACTGCATGATTATTTTGTTAGCCTGGGGACAAGTCAGTCAGGTCTTCACAAGGTTTCTCGGGCTGATAAGCCAGAGTTTCATGGTTGATTGTTGATTGCTTCGATAATCTGTCTCTGTTTTTCAACTCGTAGATAGTCCCTTGAGCGGAAAGGAGTATTTGTGAGATTTTACTATGTATTCTGTAGAAGAATGCATGTGTATGGATCTACCAATTTAAACTAAACTCTATATCAGTGAGTGGTGAGTTGCAGGTTGTTGAGGTCTAGGATGTGCGCCTCCAGCAGCTGGGCCTCCTTGAGGATCTCTCCCATGCACAGGGCAATGGAGGCCCAGGCAGCACACTAGCAACAATCTCTCCTCTGGTTGCTGAACGCTGTCGTCGTCGTCGTCAACAGCAGCAGCTTTGCCGCTCGTGCCTGCGCTAGGAAGGAGCCCAGCACCTCGTCATCCTTGTAGCAGCGGCTGCAGCCGACGCCACCAGCCGCAGTCCCAGCCTCAAGATCGACGACCTGGCCCTTGGCCTCTTTGCATGTGGAGGCAAGGCTGCTGCTGGATGGTCTTGGTCTTGGCGTCGGTGTCGTCGTCCACGTCCACGTGCTGGTGCCGGCGTGCCTGGTGATAGAGCTGCAGCAGCTGCACCATCCTGCTGAGGCTGCCCTGGATCTTCGTCCCGTCCACCTGCTGGTTCGCCGGTTAGTTTGTGCCTGGTGATAGAGAAAAATACATGCAGCAGCTTACGATCGTTCCTGCCGAGGCTGCCCTGGATCTTGTCGTAGCAGGCCACCTGGAACGGCGGCAGCCACAGATAGGTGGGCTCGCTGCCAGCCTCCGCGGCGTACTTCCTCAGGAGGGCCAGCTCCTGCTGCACCCTCTTCAATAGTCGCGGGGATGCACCGGGCGAGCTGCTCCCTGGCCTGCACCGACGTCCTCGCTCCTGGCTGGAACACAAGGTCCGCCAGGACGGCACAGGAGATGCCTATGAAGGTCTCCACCAGGCGCGTGATGGTGAAGGCCATGGGAGCCTGGTCGGAGCGGCGCCCCATGATGATGACGACCGACAGCGCGGCCGCCACGCCGCCCACGACAGCACATGTGAATTGATATATGCTTTAAAACCATCACAAATGTTGGCAAGTATGTCCCTCCTACTAACTTATGTCGTCAACTTGTCGGAGTAGTAGACATGGTCTGTGTATGTTGCATGCTCAGTTCCTTGGACGAAACTGCAATAAGCACGGTAAAGCTTGTTCATCTTGCAAGTGATTGCAACAAGCCGCTGCCTGCTGGTAGCAAATGCGAAAGTAAGTCATGTAATACAAATTTTATCTTTATACATTTAAAAATCCACCACTTTATGTTAGTACCACATGATAATTGTTGAAGCTGTTTTTTTTTTATAGTTTCACTGTGTAATGTGAATAAGATAATATGATTCAAACTGTACTCGTCAGGTTGGACTGTGCCTCGACCACTGTCTGCAGTGTATATGTGAGAATTCCGGAAGAAATGTGGCCAAAGGAGGAGAAGAATAATTGTGTTCTAGTAGAGTTTCAGGTCTCTGGTATCATGTAATGCTAAATTGTCTAATGATATTACTTTCTAAGAAATGTGGTGGGGCTCACTTACTGCAGAATCCCTTGTCCATCTTGGAAGGGGAGAGAGACTTTTATGTGTGTGACCAGGATAGATACCTCGCTTCGCTGAAAAAACAAGCCGAAACACTATTCCGACTGATTTGTTCTGAGAGAAAACACTATTCCGGCTGAAAAAAAAAACTTGAAAAAGACGGATTATAAGATAAGCGAACATGGTGTGTGTGACCAGGATAGATACCTCTACTACTGTCACCGAGGCACCTTGTGCTAGACTAGGCACAGGGCTTCTGACTTAATCTTCCAGTTGGCGAGACCAAGGGAGAGGGTTGCCTTCCGAAACCTTTGAACCGGTAAAAATAAAATTTAACAAAAGTCTTATTAATTGAACATGTCATTGTTCAAAAATATTTAATAATACAGTAAAGCTATAGAGGTCTAATAAAAGAGAGTCTATAACAAGACTCTCATTTATTAGGATTATTACTTGTGTACCAGAACTGATATATCATGATTAAACGAGTCTCGTAAGTGTTGAATACCAACACATTTATGGATATTTGAAGTTAATTTGTGTGCTAAGATTTACATTTATTGTTTTCCTATCAATCTCTAAGATATCATAAGATTAAAAATGAGGTTCATCAATGTTATGTAGACATTTCATCAATCGTGTTCTGCTCTTGATGCAGATAAACTAAATAGGAAAACCTTTATTCAAACTGAGTTCTTAAGGCTGATGGAGGAGGAGGAGAGTTACTGGCATAAGAGATCAAATAGCATGTGGCTCTTGAAGGGTGATAACAACACTGCCTTCTTTCATAGAATGGCTAATGGAAAAAAAGGAAGAACACGATTTTCTCTTTGAAACATAATGATCGAACAATTGAAGGGGATGGTGCCCTAGTGGACCATGCTACTCAATTCTATAAGGAGCTGTTTGGTCCTTCTGCACCTTCTGGTCTCCACATGGAGCCTGGGTGCTGGGACCCTTATGAGATGGTTACTTTGCAAGAAAATGTTGAGTTAGAAAAAGCTTTCTCTGAATCTGAAATCAAGGAAACCGTGTTTTCCATGGAAAAAAACACTGCTCCTGGACCTAATCACTTCCCTGTTGAGTTTTATCAACATTGTTGGGATATTGTCAAGGAGGATATGGTTGCTCTCTTTTCTAACTTTCATAATCTGAAATTGGACATTGGCAGGTTTAATTATGGCATTATAACTCTGCTTCCAAAAGTTAAAGAGGCTAATAACATCAAGCAGTACAGACCTATTTGTCTGTTAAATGTCATATACAAATTTTTCACAAAGGCTCTGATGTTAAGACTAGACAAAGTTATGGTAAGGATTATTAATAGAAGCCAATCTGGCTTCCTGAAGAATAGAAACATCATGGATGGGATTTTAGCACTTCATGAAATCCTACACGACACTAGAGTTAGAAAAAAAAGATGGTCTCATCCTCAAACTTGATTTTGAAAAGGCTTATGACAAGCTAAACTGGGACTTTCTTTTTGATTGTCTCAAGCAGAGGGGTTTCTGTAAAAAGTGGTGTGATTGGATCAAGCTGGTCATGAGTTCGGGTACGGTTAGTGTTAAGGTGAATAATATAAATGGGAGCTATTTCAAGTCTGGTAGAGGTGTCAGGCAGGGTGATCCTTTGTCCCCTTTTCTGTTTAATATTGCTGCTGATACCTTAGCCAAAATGATTTCTCTTGCCCAAAAGAACAACTTAATCAAAGGGTTAGTGCCTGAATACATTGAAAATGGAGTTGCTGTCCTTCAATATGCCGATGATACAATTTTGTGTATCCAAGATGACAAGGAGCAGGCATCCCATCTAAAACTGCTGTTATATTTCTATGAAGCTATGTCTGGGCTAAAGTCAATTTTTCAAAAAGTGAAGTTATTATGGTGAGTCAGGATAGTTCAAAGAGCCTTGAATTCTCTAACATGTTCAATTGTGCTATTGATAATTGGCCCATTAAATACCTGGGGTCCCTGTGTCTGGCTCCAAGCTTCATGTGGCTGATTGGTTGCCTATTTGTGAAAAAATAATGAAAAGGCTGGATGGTTGGAAAGGTAGTTCCTTAAGTCTGGGAGGTAGACTTGTGCTCATTAACTCTTGCCTGAGTAATCTCCCTGTTTATGCCATGTCCATGTACTGGCTTCCTGTTTCAACTCTTGATAAAATGGATTCTGCTAGAAAAAAAAAATCTGGCAAGGGGGAAATTTGAAACGGAAATACCATTTGGTTAAATGGAGCAGAATCACAAAGCCTAAGAACAGAGGGGGTTTAGGGATTAAAGACCTAAGAAGAATGAATATCAGCTTATTGTGTAAATGGTGGTGGAAAACTGAAAATGGGAGTGGTATTTGGCATGATATCATTAGAAGGAAGTATCTTAAAAAGGGGATGGTCTCCTTGTTGAAGAAAAGTCCAAAGAATTCACCAGTATGGAATGATATGTTGAAGGTGAGGAATGTTTACACCAGGGGTAGGTCCATGATAGTGGGTGATGACAAGTCAACCAGTTTTTGGCATGACCGCTGGTGTGGCCTTGTCTCCTTGGCAGACAAGTTCCCAGGTCTATATGAGATAAGTGATGAACAAGATTGTTCGGTGGAATATATGAAGAAGAAAAACTGGCGTCCTTCTTTCAGAAGATGGTTACATGAGGACCTGCAGAACCAATTGAGAAGGCTGTATGACACTATCTACTGTTTCAGTACTAACAACAGTAATGATAGAGCTAAGTGGGATTGGGAGAAGTCTGGTGTTTTCTCTGTAAAATCCACTTACAACTACTTGAGTAGACATGATGTTGGTCTTAGCTTTAAGAAAATTTGGAAAGCCAAAATTCCTTTGAAAATCAGAATTTTCATGTGGCTTGTTTCACAGAACGCCATTCTTACTAGAGATAACCTAACTAAACATAAGTGGAAAGGCAACACTTCTTGTGCGTTTTGCACAGAAAAGGAAGATGGGCATCATCTGTTTTTTGGTTGTCTTACAGCTAAATATGTGTGGAGCCTGTTAGCTTACCCTTTGGGGTCTGACTGTAGA